CGTAGTAGACAAATTCTACTGCACATTAGCCCAATAGCACAGTTTTTGCCATGATGGTCTAATGCACAAAAGAGTTAGTCTACTGCATATTTAGTGTTTCATATAGATGCACCCACTGGCTGCTTTTGTTAATTCTCCTCCATTTTTTTGCTAATTTCTGCCATTTAGTGATTTAAAGAAACTAAAAACATACAAGATTACTTATACCAATATTTGAGCAATGAGAGGTTAACGTGCATTTAGGAGAGAAAAAAATCCAAAGTTTTTAATGTCTTTGAGGCAAGTTTTGTATGCCTCTTTGTCTTTAAGAGGCTTTTTTTTCTTTTATCTTTTTGGCTATATCAGCCAGGGACACAATCACATAGATTTTTTAGGATAACCTCATGTGGTGCTAGGCACTTTTTTTTTCTTTTTAGTTACTCAAGTTTTATATCCTGATGTTACAGAGACCACAAAAAATGTTCCATAAATGACATTAGTAAAGATAGATAATTAGGGGGTAAATGTCAGTAGTGGTTAACACCTCACTGCCACTATATGTGTATTTTTGTTATGTAACTGTTAGGAATAAGTTTTATGAGCTCTAGAGCTGTTGTTTTATTATGTATGAAGACAACATAAAATGTTCTGATATGCAAAATAGAGGATAAAGACATAAAAGAATATACAAAAAAGAAAAGATCAATATAATGTCAACAAAATATTGTGGGTTGTCATGACAGCACAGTCATTTGACAACTATTATATTATATTAATCTATCTAGGCTAGGATTTTCAAAGTCAATGCCTAAGGTTAGGCTCCACATTTAGGCAGATAATTAGGGCTTGCAAGTAGCACCCATTGACTTCAATGTGTGTTCAGTGGTTTTGGAAATCTGGCCACATGTATAGGTTCTTAAATATGAAGCTAAATTTTTTTAAAATTCTTTACCCATCTCTCTGTCAGAATTCAAATATAAGGATTAGTTTGTTCTACCTTGGGCATCTCAGTGGAACATGCCCAGGGTGTAAACATGAGATGTTTACTGAAGAGCAGACTAAGTGGCTGCGCAGTAAACATTGCATGTTTACATGTGCTTCCCTATTAGGCTGGAGTAAATTAAATAACTCTGAAGCAGGATAGTACTTGTATTTACAGCCAGGGTGTATTTACAAGTACTATCCTGCTGTGGAGTTTTTAACTCTGCAGCAGCACACATGTAGGTGCTGCCTTAGCTGGCTGGGTCATGGGGGTGCTTCAGTGCAGGGGGTGCCCTGCTGGCTAGCCCTGCACTGAAGCATGCTCATGCCCCAGCCAGCCCCTCTGCAGCACATTGAGCTGGGGAGAACAGTCCTAGGTTGGCAGGCTCCCTCTGGGCCCTCTGTCAGCTGAGGCTGCTCCAACCCAGCTCAGTGTGCTGCACTCCCAGGTGCACATTCAAATGGTGTGCCTGGGAGTAATAAACTCTGGAGGAATAAGCTCTAGAGTTTATTCATGTGCATCAATTCCCCTCTGAGTGTGTCTACACATACAATTAATACAAAGCAATAAACTCCAGAGCAGTTTGAGCTGAAGTAAACTACTCCTTGGCACAGTATTTGCATGTATGCCTGGGACAGCAGCAATTTGATCCAGGGCAGACTAGACCTGGGATGTCAGGGGGAACAGGAGGTCAGCCCCAGGTTCTGGCTGGTGGCAGAGGGGCTGGCTGGGACATGAGGGTGATGAAAGCGCGGAGCCATGTGGGTAGGCGGGGATGCAGGAGTTTGGCTCCTGGCTGACTGGACACAATCTATGCCTGTGGTCAGCATCCACATGTGCATTTGATCACAGTTACTTACCCCACCATAAGAATCATAGAAGTAGGGTCGGAAGGGACCTTGTAGATCTTCAAGTCTGACCCCCGGCCTGGGCAGGAGGAAAGCTGGGCTCAAATGACCCCAGCCAGGTAGGCATCGAGCTGCTTCTTAAAGACCCCCAGGGTCGGAGCCAGTGCCACTTCCCTTGGAAGTTGGTTCCAGATCCTAGCCACCCTAACTGTGAAGTAGTTCCTATGGATGTCTAATCTAAACCTACTCTCCAACAACTTGTGGCCGTTATTCCTTGTTATCCCGGGGGGCGCTAGGGGAAACAAGGTCTCCCCTAACCCTTCTGGTCCCCCGTACTGAGTTTATAGACGGTCACCAGGTTCCCCCTCAGCCTTCTCTTGTGAAGGCTGAACAGGTTCAGGTCCTGTAGCCTCTCATTGTTGCGTCTGCCCTGCTGTCCCCGGATCATGCGGGTGGCCCTCCTCTGGACCCTCTCAATGTTGTCCACATCCCTCTTGAAGTGGGGTGCCCAGAACTGGACACAGTACTCCAGCTGTGGCCTGACCAGTG